CGAAACCACCGGTGGCATTCTTCTAGATGTTCTTTCGTCAAATCGGCTCCCGCTCCTTGACAAATCAAAGCTATTACATCCATTTTCTGATGTTTTGTGGACGTTTTTAGTAAAATGTTTGACGTTTTGCTAAGCTTTAATCAATACACCTCATAAAAGGGAAAATTTTGATTTTTCTCCACAGCGGTTTTCTTTTCCAGTGGGCGATTTTCATCTACTCTCTTCGTTGTGTTTTGCAAGTTTTAATCAATGACCCAAACATAAAGCTTTAACCCGGATGAAAGATTTTCCCTAGACTAATCATAGCATAAGCTAGAAAATTTGTAGCATCCAAACAGAGAGTTAAATGTAGACGAAACCAAATGGTGGAAATCATGAGACGTCTGCACACAATCGTTTGTTACAACACCCAAATCTCGGGGAGTCGGAACTTTGAGTTCAAACAAAATATTTCTTCCTTCTCGGTATATAAAGCTTGAAGATCGAGTCGGAGGCTGTCTTTGTAGGCGTAGCACCGGTTTCGGAAGTTTGTCACCGAATCACTTGCCTTTTCTTCGTCAAATGCTAGGGCGATCCTTCTTCTTCAATCGCTAGGTCGGTCCTTCACAGTGACAAATCCTTCGATGGAGGAGCTATGGCTGTCAAGCCTGAGATCTATTGGGGTATTAGAGTTCAATAGCTCAGCCACATCCATCCAAGAACAACCAAGTAGTAGACAAAATAAGTGCTTAGCATAAGCTAGAGATCTGCTTTGTTCGAAGGTAGTCGCCGTGAGAACTCCACAAAAGCGCCGTGAGAACTCCAACCAAAGGGACCAGAGAGAGAGAGAGCGCTTAGCATAGATCTAGAGACGAATACATGAAGTTTTGTCAGAATCTGGGACCTCCGTGTGCTCTCGAGAGATTCCGGTACGGCGTCGTCGGAAGAGAGACCGTGAGATATAGATCGAAAACTAAAAGCTTAGCATTTTGCTAGAGATTTGAGGCGACNGAGATCAGATCTGGGTTTGGTTTTTCAGTCTCCGATGAAGCCTTCAAGCCACCGCCGCTGTCCATTCCTACTGTTTTGAAGAGAAGATCTGGTGAATTCCGGCGAGTTCCGGACAGAGACGAGCCGGAATCTTCAAGCGGGGTGGTGACGGAGTGGACGGAGACAAGACTTTAGCGGATAAACAGAGAAGCCCCACCCCTCGGCATGGTGCCGGAGAGGAGGGAGGGAGAAAGGAGAAAGCTTGAAGAGAATCACCGGTAAGAGTCACCGGAAAGTATGGAGAAATCACCGGAGAAAAGGAGGTTATTTCTGATTAATTAAAGAATTTGGTTAATAACAAAAAAAAAAGTACTATAAAATCTAACCATTTGTCTACAGAGACAGAGAGAAAGAAAAATGTTGATTTTGGTTACAACAAATGGACATATCGCCATGAACCATCTTCAAACCCATCTATACCAAAAACCCAAAGACTAGGACCACACAAACTATACAAGTACTTGGGTCACTCTACCACATCAACGGG